CTGCTGTACAAGAAGAAATTGTCTCACTTGGTGAATCTATGGGGCTGGAAGTGGATCAGGATGATGTGAAAGACCTTGTTAACTCTCACAATAGGCTGCTCACCACAGAGGACCTGCAAGAACTGGACAGCTCCATTGAATATGACAGTGGGGAGGAGGAACAAGAAGATGATGCCTTGATAACTGTACAGCTGAATAAACTTTTAAACTTTTGGGACACTGTCAAGAAATATGTCAGCAGACATCCATCCATAGAGCAAACAGAGCTTCAAATCTGTCAGTTTGATGACAAAGTTGAGTCCTACTTAAAGAAGTTGTTAATGGAGAAGAGGGAGGCAGCACAACAGTCAACTCTTGACAGATTCTTTAAAAAAAAGCCAAGATTGGAGCCATCATCGTCCATCAACTCAGAAAATCCTTCTTCCTGCAGCACCCTTGAACCCCAGAGGTTATAATGGAAGAAGATTATCCTTCCAAAAGTTAAATTTCTCCTACCAAAACTTCTCCATCAAATCCCCTAAGCAAGTAATCTTCTTAGCCTAAGGCAAGAATTGTTTTACTATATGAATATTTTTATGCTATATTTATGGATTATTCTAAGGGTTATATTGAAAACCAGCTTTTACAACTAAGCCCAGTAAAACCTTTATATGGAAACATTACATAGATGACATATTTTTCATTTGGACAGCTGATCTTAAATCACTTAAAGAAGTTGTCTCATATGCAAACTCCTTTCACAAAACAATCAAGTTTACCTGTGATTACTTGCCTACCCAGATGAACTTTCTTGACATCACTTTTTCTAAAAGACATAATTTTAAACACTGACTTGTACAAAAAACCTACAGGCAGACCACAATACTTTCACTATAAAAGCTGTCATCACTCTCACACTAAATGAAACATTACCTACAGTTAAGCTCTTAGAATAAAGAAAATATGCTCAGATGAAAGACTACAGAAAACACACCAAGGATTTAAAACAGACCATGTTACAATGAGGATATAAAGATACCGAAATCGAAAGACAAACTGAAAAGGCTAACAACACTCAGCAGAAAAACACCCTAAATCACAGCAACACTAAACTTTCAAATAGAATTCCTCTTATTATTACCTATCAGTTTAAACTCAGAAATATTTCATAAATTCTGAAAAAACATTTTCATCTCCTATAGCTCAATGATCTTCTTAAACAGATATTTCCTGAAATTTCTCTTGTCTCATTCTGAAAAAAAGCAGAACTCTAAAAGATATCCTTGTTCACCTAAAAGTGAATTTCATCCCACCAAAAAATCGTTGTCATCCATGCAATAAAGCCGGTTGTAAAACCTACAAGTTCATAAAAACCACTGACTCGTTTTCTGACAAGCACAATCAAAGAAACTTTAAAATATCCAAAG